AGGGTTAGTTCACCCAAAAATGAAAATTCTGTCATTAATTACTCACCCTCATGTCGCTCCAAACCCGTAAGACCTTCGTTCATCTTCGGAACACAAATGAAGATATTTTTTAAGAAATCTGAGAGCTCTCTGACCCTCCCATAGACAGCAAGGATACTACCATGATCAAGGCACAGAAACATAGCAAGGACATCGGTAAAGTAGTCCATGAGACATCAGGGGTTCAACCGTAATTTTACAAAGCAGCAAGAATACATTTTGTGTGCAAAGAAAAAAATTATAATATAATTTATTCAACAATTCTTCTCCCCGAGTTACCGTCTTCCGGCATTTTGGAGAGTACACCAGAACGTAATCAGCGTTGTTTACGTTCAGCATGCGTGCGTTTTCTACTGAACGTTTTTTGGGTGTTTAATGACAATTTTCATTTTTGGGTGAACTTACCCTTTAAGGAATCCTGGAAACACCTTAAACACCTTCCAGCATGCATTGGGCCAATTTCCTGGAATAACAGAAATGCAGATAAGAAAAGAAGAGTTCATTACAATTAATGGTATTTCTTGTTTGCCATTGTATAAAATAACAATTCCCACATTTGAGTATTTAAGTATTTTACATGACCATATGTATTTAAGCATGCCCATGGTGAACAGGCTTCTCTCATGCACTCTTGAATGTGCAATATAGAGCTAGGGCTACTGTAAGGTGAAAAGTAAGATGTTCACTAAAAAAATAAGATGAAAAAGTCACATGGATGCTTTTGAATGTCATTGTTTACTCACCCTCATGTCATTCCAAACCCATAAGACTTTAGTTTCACATCAAAACACATAAAGATCTTTTGAATTAAATCTGACAGATTTCTGTCCCTCCACTGACAGTCCACGCAACTACCACTTTGAAACTTTCAAAATTCATAAAGCGATTGTAAGACTAATCCATATGAATAGAGCAGTTTAGTCCAAATGTTCTAGAGACTCAATTGCTTTATATGATGAACAAACTGAACTTGGTCTTTTATTCACATATAAACACTGAACAAACAGACGCTTAACCATACTTGCTTGACGCATGAGAACAAACTTCACTGGTTCTTGTGGAAGCTCAAACTTGATGTTTAACACAAAAATGAACCTAATTTTTTCAAAACAAAAAGTATTTTGTTTACCATATCTGATGTGTGTACTGATGAATGTTTATATGTGAATAAAAGCATAAATTAAATCTGTTCATCATATAAAATGATCGAGCCTCTTCAGAAAATCTGGACTAAACTGTTCAATTCATATTTGTTTTACATTCTTTTTATGACATTTTTAAAGCATCAAAGTAGTAGTTGTGTGGACTGTCAATGGAGGAACAGAAATCTCTCATTTTTCATTAAAACATCTTCATTTGTGTTTTGAAGATGAATGAAAGTCTTAGGGGTTTGGAACGGAATAAGGGTGATGATGACGATTTTGATTTTGGGATGAACTAAACCCTTTAACAATTAGCTGCCATTGTATAGACATCAGCAAAAGACTTACTGGTTGTCTTCTGGTCCTGCAAAGTCTTCACATGGGCATGAAATAGCATCCTCCCCAACAGTAGACACAGTCTTCACCTGCATATAAATGCAAAATACACATATGTAATGACAATATTACACTGCAAGATTCTATCATATTTAATGTGAATGACTTGTTTCTTTAGTGTAAAGCTCATGAAACATAAATTAAATCTCAGATGTGTTTGTGTCGCAGACCACAGAAGACTATGTTAGTATCTATTCATTTTAATTTTAGTAGGAAAATTTATATTTATTTACATTTAAATTTCACTCATTTTTGTACTGATACTTGCTTCACAGCTGAGGACATAGACTTGTTGTATAAGTATGATCAATGTAACTTACTACTTACAAGAAAAGCTCAAAAAAGCTGTGCTATCCCTGAGACCAGCACTGACAGTTTCTCCATCATCTTCGTGATCTGAAAGTTAAAGACACATTTGCTGAGTTTCAGAGTTCTCTAATAAAATGAATGACATGTATGTGACTTAGAGATAGGGCAGAATCAGGTAATCACATTCTTTTAAAAACAGAGACCGAAAGATAGGCAGCTCACACAGAACATTTCAATTTGTCTGTATTGTTCAACAGGTGCAATACACCACCATGGCGCTTCAGGGTAAGCATTCATTTACAATAATTCAAAAGTATTATTTGATGTACTTCAAACTTATAAACAAACTATACACAAGCACTGTTGCTTTATAATTTATTTGCAGAAGGCTAAATACAGCTGGCTATTTAAGCTTTTACGCTCCCTGTTGTGAATGGGTGGCTGTAACGTCTAACACCGTGTCTACACCGGACGTGAGCGGCGCGACAAAATACTATAGAATCCATTATAATCATCAGCGATGCTGTCTACACTGGATGCGGCGCGACACGGCAAATCCCCGACAGCAAACTGCTGCCGCGTTCTATTTATGACGTACTGACACACAGTTCAAATGACACAGTGGCTTTGTCGCGTCCAGTGTAGACACGGTGTTATACATTTTTGATTCGGTTAAAAGCAAGCATAAAACTCACCTTTGAATTTCCTCCTCTCTTCGTCTGATAATTCGAGTCAAGCCTCTCTTTAGCTTATGAAGTTCCTCTGACGATAAAGAAGCTGAAGTCCTGGTTGTGCTGGCGCTAGACGGGCGCACTGCTTCCCGCTCTCCGCTGTTTGAAAATTCCGTTAACGGCTGCTGCGACTTCAGCCCGTCAATTCTTGTGTTGCCATGCCTAATAGTTAACCGTTGATATTTAAAAGTTACAATGGGCAGTGTTGAGCAAACGCTATATTGTATATGTAGTCGCGATCATTTAATACTAATCAACTAAGTTAATTGCATTTTTTTTTAAATGTAACATTATACAAATGGCTAAAACCACTGAGCGCATAGCTCCATGAACTAATTTAAGCCATTAATTTCACGTTGAGTAGCTGAAACATTTACATTTTAGACTTGTGAACTTAATATAAACATAAATTGTCAAAACTCACCTTTAAATCTCGTCGTCTTCAAGATTAACACTTACAATCCATTCTCAAAGAGCTTTTCTGTTGATAAAAGGGTAAAAGTAGTCTGCTTCCCGCTCTCTGTTCTATTTGAAAATTCAGTAACGGCCGCAGCGATTTCGACCAATCAGAGTCTTGTTGCTATGCCTAATAGTTAAAACAGCAACCAATCATGCATGAAACAGTAAATTTGTACCTTTGACGTGAGAACTTTCATGTACCTTCATTTCAGTTGTACCTTGAAAGGTACCAAACAGTATCATCGGAGGTCTTTACTGTACCATTAAAGGTACAATTATTAAAAAGGTACAAAACTGTTCTTTGAGGAACATTATTTGTACCATCGTGTACCTTTTTTTCTGAGAGTGTATAACGCAAATAAACATTTTCCTGCACAATTCATTATTGTAATAGTCAATAAATAAAATACTACACGGCCAGCATATTAGTAGAAAAAAAATAATCTAAGGTGGTGGATGAAGCAAGAAAAAATATAATTATACATATAATTCCTACTGAGAAATAACTAATTTAAACAGTCTATATTATACAACATTTGAATATGCTGTTTATTTTCATGCTTGTGAGAGAATCACATCACTAACTTCGCATCATGCGAACTGCAAACTCTACTGGAAAGAACTGAGACCAAATTTTCAGCTCACTTTACATAAGCTATTTGTATGATACATGGAGACAGCAAGGCCGCTCACTAGGTTTTGCAATAGACAATTTTGGTTTATTCATGTACATTTGGCTTTGCACTATTAACTTGCTTTTTCAAAATAATAAGGGCAAGAGAACAAGGCGTCAGTCTGGGCTAAGAGAGATGCTTTTTAGACCAGGGCATCACCTCACCTAGCATAAATCCTTGTCATCATAAAATCTGTGCTGAACCCTTTTAAACATGGTAATGTAATGTACATGTACAGGTCCATGGAGCCATAAAGAGCAGAGGGGAATATGACCTCATGACCAGAGCTTTCTATCTGGAGACGTACCATTGTTCATGATCGAGGAGAATACAATCCTGGGCTCATGTGTCTGAGCTGCTTGCTACAAACACAGATTATACATAGCAGGAAACATTTAAAGAGTACATAGGTGTAATAATAAAATGTGTGCCACTAGGTTGACTTTGACAAATAATACATGCTTGCTTTATTAAAATAAAGAATTTAAAGTAATTATAAGGCTAAATATCACAAAACTGTCAAGAACAAGAACAAAATGAACAAATACATCCGACTGGATATCACGTTTGTGGAAACTGGCCTACATACTGAACGAAGGGAGCTTTTGTAAACAATCCTTAGCACACTGCAGATAATCAGGTAATTAATCAGCTAATGTGTTGGTGTACATTCACAGTAGCTGACATGGTAAGGGACAGGTGGGATTACTACAGTTAAAACTACCTTTTAACACTGATCTCAGACCAGTTTTGTAGTTTCTCCCTTAATACGCATGGCCAGGATTTAATTGAGAGGAGCTAGTCCCAGATTAGGTGCCATCAGGCCGCTTCTACCCAGAGCAGAGTAGCTATTTCCACAAATGGAGGCATTGTACCATCAGAACACTTGAAGAAATCTGTCTGCATGTTTTTCTTCTTTCTTTCCATCAGAAAGAATGTCTTTGCTTCCTCTGCTGCTGTGTGTCGGAGAGATTAATTCAGATGCGCTTACATTTCTGCAGCCTTGACATTTCTGTAACGCAACTGAAGGTTTGTCTGGGCTCTTTGCTCTTTGTTCTTTTGAGTGCTATAGGCGATACAAGTAATGGAAAAACAACGCACAACTGCCACCGCTCTGAGCATTATGTACTGCCATACCTCAATGAAGGATGCCACATTAAGCAACAAGGCACAAAATGAATCTCAAAAACAGTACAATCAGCTTACAATTAACTCAAACTGTATGAGTTTCTTTCTTTTGTTGAACACAAAGTCAATTGCTACTGTCAACAGGTTGATTTCCAACATTCTTCAAAATATCTTCTTTCTTCAACAAAATCTGGTTTGAGAAGACAGAATTTTCATTTTTGTGTGAACTGCTCCTTTAAGAGTTTTGAAAAAACCCTTAGCTCTAAGTTTGAGCAACAGCAGTTATACTAAGCATGATGTGCATATCATGATTTGTGAAAAGCTATATCATGCTTCAGAGATCTCTGTGCATTTTGTCTGTAGCTTCAGAGTGAGAGGTTTCATCCACTGAGGAAGATCACAGACAGAGATGCTAACAAATGGATCAGAGCAGAGAAACAGAGCGGCAGATAAAAGTGATCCGCTGTAAACGTGGATGAGGATGAGTCTCCTCTGACACAAGCAGCCCAATGCGAGGATCAAAAGAACCACCGGAAGGGACATGGGCCGCCAACCACTACTGATGCCCAAGTAGTGTATTTAAATCACTCTCTTCACCCCGAGACAACCATTCATATTCAGTGATGACCCCATTTCACTCTTGTTTTGACTTGAGCTTGTATTAAGGGTGTTGGAAATGGAATGAAGAAACGGTTCTTATACATATATTTGGAACAGAATCTTCATGGAGTTTCATTTCTTTAAAGGGGAGATAACACACAGTTTCACCCAATCTCATGTTAATCTTGAGTACCTATAGAGTAGTACTGCTACCTTTATATCTCCAAAAAGTCTTTAGTTTTATCATATATATAAAAGAAAGATACAGCTTTACGATTCTCTCCGGAAAAAGCCGAGCTCCTGGAGGCGCGCCGTGGGTGGAGCTAAACTGCGCTCCGACTGCCAACAAAATACAGACAGTTGATGCAGTTTCACTTACCGTCTGCAGTTCTGAATCATGACCGGGATCTTTTATAGCTCGACAGCTCCATCCTTCAGTATCAAACGAAGTATGCAAATCCAGCATCGAACTGGGCCTTGCTTATAAAACGTTTGTCAACAAACACACTTGTGAAACTCCGTTGCTGCTCCGGAAAAACAAACTGCATCCACTGTTTAACTTACATAACGTTGGGTTCTTTAGGAAGCTGAACAAAGTTATCTTTCCCTTACAACCAAAAACACACTTCTTTGGATTGGAGACATTCTTCCCGAGCAAGTCCCATGCAGCGCTGCCGCCAGATGAAGTGCGTTGATGGGCGCAATCTCGCTCTTGCTCTGGTCGATGCGTGCGCGGGCACGTTCTTCCGGGAGAAATGCCCATATAAGGAGTTCCCAGCTTTACGATTCTCTCCGGAAAAAGCCGAGCTCCTGGAGGCGCGCCGTGGGCGGAGCTAAAGAGTGACGAGCACTTGGGAGCCTAATACCAAAAAAATACAGACGTTTGATGCAGTTTCACTTACCGTCTACAATTCTGAATCATGATTGGGATCTGTTATAGCTCGACCGCTCCATCCTTCAGTATCAAACGATGGGCAAATCCAGCATCGAACTGGGCCTTGCTTATAAAACGTTTGTCAACAAACACACTTGTGAAACTCCGTTGCTGCTCCGGAAAAACAAACTGCATCCACTGTTTAACTTACATAACGTTGGGTTCTTTAGGAAGCTGAACAAAGTTATCTTTCCCTTACAACCAAAAACACACTTCTTTGGAGACATTCTTCCCGAGCGAGTCCCGTGCAGCGCTGCTGAGTGAAGCGCGTTGGCGCTCTTGCTCTTGCTCTCGCTCTGGTCGATGTGTGCACGGCGCGCTCTTCCGGGAGAAATGCCCATATAAGGAGTTCCACCCTTACGTCATGAAGAGCCACGATCGAAAAAAACTCTCCGAAACTTGTACGAACCCAGAAGTAAGATTTTTAGCACAGAAATACTTCGTCATACGTCCAATTTTTTTTTTTCAAATTTTGTCCATGCTTAGCATGAGAATCCGACTCTTTAACAGTGTAAACAACTCTGAATGCATGAAACAGCATTGTACCCCCCCTTTAACGGTTTTAAATATCTGCATTCTACTGTTGTAGAATGCAGATATTTATCTTATATATATATTTATCTTATATATCTTATATATTTAGCATTAAATATATGCATTTCCTGCACCGCTATTCCTATGCCACTACTGAATTAATGCCAATGGTTTAGGCTAGTTTTGTCTAAGCTGTGAACTTGCAGTCTGAACTGGATGTGATGAAAGAGAAGCATCCAGTTGTCCTCGCTGATGGCATGCAACAACAAACATACAGCACGACCAGTGATGTCAGATATGCATACTAATGACTCTTATGAACTGGTTCTTTTTAATGAATCAGCCAAAATGACTCAAGTCATTCTTGTGGCAAAGCTATTGGTTTAAATCGGTCTAGTGACTAACTACCATTTGGTCAGAGCTGTTCTTCACTTATTCACTGACCACAAAGTGAACTTTCATCAAGTCGAGCTGGAAATAAAGCAATATGGTTAATGGAATCGATATCATTAAATAGAATCAGCACTGTTACATTTCTCCATTTCCCCTCCCTAGTTGGAAAGCAAAATGATACGAACAGAACAAAAGTAACTACACAAGCAGGTGTAGTTTTACCACACATCTTATCAATATTATACAAGCAGTCTGTTTCTCTGCAAAATCTCAGAAGCATAAGCAAATGGTCCTCTTACCTTTAAACTGCAGAAGAATTATAGAAAGCTATAAATGGATTTTTCCAAAAGGCAGAAAACTAGTGCACAACAGGTAAAACACAAAGCAATGTGACCAACTGTAGCTTGTGATGAGCATTTTTTAAGTTTGTTATTCAATTAAGCATGTGATGACCACTGGTGCATTCAAATATTGCATTCCACTTCATTGGATGAGCTTATTAGACTCTCCTACCAAAACTAAAACGGACGCACATAGTCAAATGCTGTTGGTCCAGCAATAACTGGATTGGAATGCTCTAGTAAAAACATGTAATTTGCCTTCCAAATCCTAGTGAAATTCCCACTTCAGCCATTAGGCATTCCTCATATTTTGCTTTTAAATAAACAAAGGAACCCAGTGGCTGGCCAATTTTAACATAAGCCAAGCATCATTTGGCATGAAATCAAAAGATCAAATGACCTCATCATACTGGAAATAATAGCCCAATAAGACTTCAAGGTACCAATGCAATTCCATAATCATTTATCCACACATAATCCATAATCATCACCATCAGCATTTGATGGGCCATTCCAGGCTATACATTACCAAAG